CAAATGTTTATAGATGTGTTTTTAGAGTTGCTTTTTTAATTATGTGTAAATGTTTATGTGAAAAGTTCTCATTTTTATTTATTTAATTGCACTCTAGAGATGAGTAAGAGTGAAAAGGTTTAGGTAATAATGTATTTGTATTGGCAAGTAAATGTAATGCATGACAGGTTCTCTTTCATTCAAATTGCAGAATTGAATGGATATAGTGATGCACCTGGTGAGTATCAAACCAGTGTGAAAGAGAAATTAGCCAGCGTTAGAGAGCTAACCTCACTTCCTACCATAAAACCTTTTGTAATAAGGGACAGTAGCTACTTGTTAGGGATTCGGTAAGAGAAACCGAAACCAGTGAATGAACCCACTTGCAGGAGCTGATAAAGCCTAGCCATGATCCAAAGAAAGCCGTAGTCGAAGAAACGAGCCGAGAGTCCAGGGGAAGCCAGAGATCCAAACAGGGAACGAGTTACCGAAGCCAAACCGTGATCCGAAACCCTAGACAATAGAACAATCTGAGAGTCCAGGGGAAGCCAGAGATCCAAAACAGAGAGTGAGTACCGAAGCCAAGCCGTGATCTGAAAAACCGTCATCAAAGGGGGAAAAACCGTAATCCGAAAACCAAGAAAGACACAAAGCAGAAGAAGGAGTAGCGCAACTAGGAAGGTCGAAAGGAAAACCAATACTGAGCAAGGAGGTAGAAAAAGACAGGTGTTTAAGTACAGGATGAGACGGGGGTGTGGTGGTGAATAAGTAAACTGATAGGTAGACTGATTAAGTAAGGGTACACCTTCTTCTGCCTCTTCCGTTGCCGGGAGGCAGGGATCGTAACACTACTACCACTACAATCTACCTGACCAAACTACCTCAGGCATTCTACTTCTATGTACTTACTGTATTAATTGGCTACACACTGCCATGAGCATCTCATACATGATTTTAAATAATTTTACATCATATCTTTGAAATACATGCTTCTCTCTCTCTCTGCTTATTTTCTTTTGGCCATTGCAGTATCATCTTAGGTGCCCCTCAGGGCTCTGATTTGCAAATTTTGTTATTTAGATCTACAAGCTTCACCTGTTTCAGATTTCTGAGCAATATGGTGGAAAATGTCATGCATACTCACTCAAAACTCGGATCTATATCTGTATTAAATTTGATGCTGATATTGTTGTTCCCATTTAAGTAATGATATACAGTCTTCAATACCTATACACCAATACACCTAACCTTTCTTGAATTTAATTCCAAGGAATCTGAAAAAAGCAGCTTAGGAGCCCGAACTTGTTTTCTGCAGTTCTTTACGGTGTAAAGAATGAAATAGACTTTAAAACCAACAGAGTGTCGTTTATCCATTTTCACAACCCTGTTTAAACTCTTTAATTTTTATTAATACTGAAACGTTAGGTAAAGTGTTCATCACAACAACTGTACGTTTCTGAATGTTGTATCCTCTGGAGATTCCCAAAGTATTAGAAGTCTACAGTATGATGTTGCGCACATTTTGTTTTACGTTTGTGCCATATAGACCCATCCACTTAACAAATCCAAAGAAAACTGTTTTTCATAATGCATGTATTACATGGTTAAGAAGTACCCAAGCTTATTACTACAGTTCTCTGGCTTTAGCCTAATTCTACTGTTTACTAGAGAAAATTAGAAGTGAATTAAACATTTAACAGTATTTATAATTCATGTAATAGTATATCACCCTTATAGTGTCAAATTATTTGGGTTCATGCATTAAAAATAAAAAATATTTTTTCTCAAATATTGTACAACATTTGTATTTTTATTGTAGTGCAGTTGCTCTTTGTTTTGGCTGCAAACCACTGAACTCACACTGCCTAGTGACTATAAGCACAGTGGTCACACTTGTGTTTGTCTCTCGTTCTCCATTCCCTCAAGACATGAGACAAAAAGGGCAACTGAGATAAGCTAGGGAACATAGATGGAACAATAGCACATGGCAGAACACAGTCAAAGTGATGTCAAAAATAGTAGATTGAGCTTAGAGAAATTTACAGGCATTTTGAGTGCTTCTAATTTTCCATGTTTAGCAATTTGATCAACACACATCTTCCCTGTAGCTTTTCTGCAGCACTACAGTACGTCTTTCTTGGATTTATTAACCATGACTTCTTATATTTTAGAGACATTTCTCCATCGTTCTATCTGGATAGCCACTGGTGAATTGTGTTTCCTGATGGCAACAGCAGTTTTAAGCTGTTTCTACTTTAAACGCAGTACGTTGATTTTTCTTACATTAATAGTGTGTTCTACACAATAGTGTGTTAAAATTAACCTGTTGTGCCTTTGAATACCTTGCCTGTTTTTATTGGCAGTCCAAGTCAATTTATAATTGATAAAAGCCAAGGTTTTTACATCCATTTACTGTTTTAATATCAGTACCATTGACAGTTACAGGGATCATTGAAACAGAACATTTCTTTCTGAATTTAATTAGCATTACCTTTCTTTTGTGTTTTAAAACAGTGAATTATCCTGCCACCAATTGTAGAAAAAAAAAACATGTCCTGTCTAGAATTGTTTTCAACATCATCCAAAACTTCAGTGAAGGTGACACCATCCACAGACTTGCCATAGTGGCTAACACAGTGATTGGTGTAGTATGTGAAAAGGAATGGAAGTAGCACACAGCCTTGGGGTACTCCCTTGCTGGGGGTTATGGTGAAGACTTCCCCAAACTCATTCACACATACTGTACTGTCACCAAAGAGTAAGAACATTCTATGTCCACTGAGTAGGCATACAGTATGATGTACTCCCATATCCAAAGCTTTCCTACCAACCTGTTTGTTTGAATAGTATTAAACGCCAATAAAACATCAGCAAAAATTATGCGCATATAGGGTGACGGAATTTCTAAATGTTTGTACACTTGATTTAACAAAGTCACAATCTTCAACCCCTCGTTTTGCCCTTTACTCAAACTGAAAGGGGTCCTTGAGTGCATTGATTGATAAATGAAGATAAAACAAAACAATTCATTCAAAACATTTCATTGTGACTGAAGTTAGTAATATTGGAAAGAAATCTTTTAATTCAACTGGGATTGCTTTTTTAGGACTAGGTATAATTGTGCATGTGGATTCTACAATAGAAACATACTGTAAATAGTCATTTAATGTTATTTATATTACACCTGGAATATTTCATACAATAAATCAACTGAGGTATCTGAGTTGATTTAAAATTTTAACATAGAACATGAACACTTACAAATATAGTATTGTGACACTTTTTAGTTCAGTCAGTTCCTGTTTGAATTTGAAGCCTTCACCGATCATCTAATCAAAATCAGATGTTACAAAAAAGTTAGAAAGAAGAAATGTTACTATGATGTGTACTGTTACTATGATGTTCAGTCAGGAACTTTCTGTAACGCTGCTCTGTAGAGGTGAAAAGGATCCAGGAGGCGCAGGGAGGTAATCCAGTAACGGCACTGGTGGCGAACAATCCAAAACGTGAGACAGAATCGTGGTCGAAAAGAGGGCTACAGGGTCAAATCCAAAACAGGCAAAGATAGCAAGCAATCCAAGGGGCGAGACGAGATCCGAAGTCCGAAGGCAAAAGGTGTAGGCAGAATTCCAGGAAGGCAAAAGGGGGGTAAGAACGCTAGGCAGAGCAACAAGTAGTGAACTCAATACCGAGCAACGGGAATCAGGTAAGAATTGTATAAATAACCCGGCGTGCCGCACGGTAGAGCAATTGCAGGTGTGTTAACTAGTGCGGCGGCGCTTGTTAATAGTAATCCGCTGCTGGTGCTGATTAGCTCGCTTACGTGTTGATCTCTGCTGGCTGGTGGTCGTGACAGTACCCCCCCCTTTACGGGCAGTTCCCGACGCCCGAGACGGCCGATCAGGATAGTCCCTGTGAAAGTCGCCGATTAGTGTAGGGTCCAAAATATCCTTCTCTGGAACCCAAGATCTCTCCTCGGTGCCAAAACCCTCTCAGTCGACTAAATACTGAAGGGTACCGCGGTTCCATCTGGAGTCGATGATCTTGTGGACCGTATAAGCCGGACGCCCCTGAATGCGACAAGGAGGTGGCGGGCAACGTTGGGGAGCCGCAAGAGGCGAGCGGTAAACGGGTTTCAGGAGGGAGACATGGAATGAGGGGTGGATTCTGAGGGTAGGGGGGAGAGCAAGGCGAAGGTAACCGGGGTGATCCGGGAGAGAATCCGGAAGGGACCGATATATCTAGGCCCAAGCTTTTTGGAAGGCTGATGTAGAGGTAGGTTCCGTGTAGATAACCAAACAAACTGTCCTTTCCGAAAACGAGGGGCTGGTCTGTGGTGTCGGTTGGCGAATTTGGTGTGGCGCTGGGTTGACTTAATAAGAGCTGTCCTCGCCATTCTCCAGGTCCATCGCAGTTTGGCAATATATTGTTGCACGGACGGCACTGCCGTGACTGGAGGTGTGACAGGGATGAGAGTGGGGATCATGCTTGTTGAGCCAGAGAAGGCCCAGGATCACAGGGTAAGCAGGGGAGTCCAGGAGAAGGAGTGAAATGTCCTCCACGTGAGTGGCACCAACAGTAAGGGATAGGGGAATGGTCTGCCAGGAAATGCATCCAGGAGCGATCGGTGACCCATCCAACGTTTGAATGCAGATAGGGGGTGAAAGCGGAGCAAGAGGAATATCCCACTTCTTAGCAAAAGAGGCATCCATAAAATTTTTAGCTGCCCCTGAGTCCACCAAAACCGAAAGGGGAAGGTGCGTGTCCATCCAAGAAATCTCAGCTGGGAATAAAGGCCCTGAAGAGGATTGTGAAAAAACAGCACTACTGACACTAACAGTAGGCAGTGGGGGAGCTCGAGGTGGATGTGGGGGTCTCGAAGGACAAGTAGCGAGCAGGTGACCCGACGCAGAGCAGTACAGACACAGCCCCTCCTGACGGTGCCTTTCCTTTTCCTCCAAGGACAGAGGTGCATGTGGCAGGGTGGGCGCCAAGAGGGGAGGACCCATGGGGCGCACAGGTCTGCTTCCTGGGTGTCTCTCCGCTCTCCGCAGCCGAATGCGAGTGTCCAATTCAACTACCGCAGCGATAGCCGCCTCTAGAGACCAGGTGGGTAAAGGCATGAGCACCAGGTGGTCCTTTAGATCCTCCGAGAGACCCTTAGAGAAGAGGCAAACCAAAGCTTCAGGGTTCCAGGCAGACTTCGTGGCGAGGGCTTGGAATTCAGCCACATAATCTTGCAGTGGTCTGTCGCCCTGGCGAAGAGAGGAAAGCCGAAAACAAGTCAAATCCGGGTTGCTTTGAGAAAAACGCGCCTGGAGACGGTCAGCAAAAGGCTGGAAGTCAGAGAACAGCTGATCTCCTCTAGCAAGCAATACTGCAGCCCAATCCAATGCTTTGCCTGTGAGCAAGGAAAGTGCGAATCCGATCTGCTCTCGAGAAGTAGAAAAACGCTCAGGCTGCAGCTGAAAAGCCAGGGAGCACCGTGCAATAAAGCCCCTGCAGCCTGTGGGATTGCCATCATACTTCTCCGGGAGGACAAATGGTAAGGTTGAGGAGTGGTGGGCAGGGCCGCGGGGGTTGGAGCACGTGTTTGTAAAAAAGGCATTACAGGAATCGGTGCAGGAGCCGGCGAAACAGGGGAAGAAAAAGCCAGGCGACCTGGTTAGTGAGCAGTTGAAGAGAAGATTGAATCTGGGCGAAGGGAACGAAGGGTCTGTGCATCTGCGGGATCCATAATCTGTCTCAGTATTCTGTAACGCTGCTCTGTAGAGGTGAAAAGGATCCGATGCAGATGCAGGAGTCGCAGGGAGGTAAGTAAGCGTACTGAGCAAATCCAGGAGTTGAGTCGTAGTCCGAAGGCGAAGGTAGGTTGAGATCTGGTAACGGCACTGGTGACGAACAATCCAAAACGTGAGACAGAATCGTGGTTGAAAGAGGTCTACAGGGTCAAATCCAAAACAGGCAAAGATAGCAAACAACCCAAGGGGCGAGACGAGATCCGAAGTCCGAAGGCAAAAGGTGTAGGCAGAATTCCAGGAAGGCAAAAGGGGGGTAAGAACACTAGGCAGAGCAACAAGTACTGAACTCAATACCGAGCAACAGGAATCAGATAAAAATGGTATAAATAGACGGTAGAGCAATTGCAGGTGTGTTAACTCATACGGCGGCACTTGTTAATAGTAATCCGCTGCTGGTGCTGATTAGCTCGCTTACGTGTTGATCTCTGCTGGCTGGTGGTCGTGACACTTTCAGAATAAATTGCAGCTATTCCTCTACATAATTATGTTTTTTGATGTTTGGATTACCGTCCATGAAAGCCATTCTTATTCAGTCTTTATCTAATAGCAGAATCATGAACTATAACGTTTACCATATAGACAGAGGCTTGTGGGTGGAGCTTTGGGATTTTGTGTGATCTCTAGGAGCATCACTGGGACGCCCACTCCTGGCAACTGTCTTGAACTTTCTCCATTTCAAATTAGAGAAAGTAATTTACAAATTCCGTGTCTTTATCATTGTGGAATAATGGACTTTAAGTTGCTTCAAAAAGGCTTTATAATCCTTCCCAGACTGATGAGCAGCAACAAATTTTTCTCTGAGACCCTCACAAATATCTTTTGACCTAGGCATGATGTGTTACCACAAAATTGAATGTTTCTGATTTTAAATACAGGTGAGAGCACTTCCTGATGATCAAGTAATCATGTGCACTTGTTTAGCTGTACCTGATTTTAAATACCTTAACTTATATGGCAGAAGTAAGAGTGCATTTAATTTTTTACATAAGGCTTCTGAATGTTGGTTGTCTTTTATAAAATAGTAACAAAAGTAAAATATGTTGTGATATTTGTTTCATGAGGTTATAATTATCTACTGTTGGGACTTGATGAGGACTAGGTGAAGGACAGAAATGTCTGAATATGTAGAATCATAGAATTTTAAAAGTGTGCACTGTCTTTTTCACATCACTGTATATAAATATTAAGACATGGACTACCTATCATTATATAAGGTTACAACACATTTGGTAATGCAAGTATTCTTGAGAATTATACAGTAATTTATAATATTTTGCTTGGCTAATTTGTCAACTCAGAGATCTCAGATATTTACATGCAGTACTTAAGTTATAAAACCCCCACAGGAAATACAATTCTACCTGCAGGAAATTACAGAACCGCTAACCATATTTCTGTGTTTATTGATATAGGCTTTGCGGTCTCATATACTGTACCAGTGAATATCAGTGAACATCTTGTGGAAATGATTCTACAATGTGTGACTAATTTCTGAACATTTGATGAACATATCCATTTTAATTTTTCAGGTTATGCAACTTGCTTAGAAAATAAAAATTTTGTCAGTTCATTTATCTGAATTTGACATATTTTGGAATTTGGTTATTTTCATTCATCAAACTTTGTGTTTCAAACAAGAGTTTGTATTTTTTAAAATTTTTCCTTCTGAAAATCAAAGGGTTTAACATAAATGTGTTATATTGATAAATCAAAGTATTTCAGCACATAATACGTAACATGCGCAGAAAAGGACAAACGCGTCATTTACAAGATATTTTATCCATTCAATTTCTAGTTTTAGAAAACTGTTAGCACATGTGATTTTTTTCAGGAAGTGATAATATATTTCTAATCTTTAGTCTCTTTGAATCTTTAATAAATGCTTCACTTTGCTCACATCCCTAGCATCTGCAGAAGTCCCAAAATGAAGCTTGTGAACTATGTGAATCAGTGTCCTAAAAATTCCAATTAAATTACTATGATGGATGATACACTGGTGATACAGGAGGGCAGAAACACTGACATTTCTCTTTACTTTGCCTTGCAGAAATATTCAGACTCTTTCGACGGTAATAGTGAAATAACAAAAAGATATATACACATGTTTTCAAACTTCACAAGCTGGACTTCCAAGGTCAAGATATGGTACAGACTAGGCGCGCCTGAATCTTTGCATGAAATTAAGCTTCTGATGAACGGACCTTACAGGTAATTTTGTGAACCTAATTTAGCTTTGTTACAGTAAATGGTTTGAATACCTCTGCAATCGTGACTTTTCCATTTGTCAATCAAATTTATTAACTGCATTCTTTTTTATTTGAAAATAGAGTAGGTTGTGTATCTAACAGATTTAATTTCTAAATGTGTAAGTGTAATCTTTGCAAGCTTTATAGCAGTACAATGTGAAAACTATCCAAGGATTTTATTGGTTATGCATAGTACTGTATATTCTTTTACTTATTAATATTTAAATTACTTTTTTTTTCTTCAGATTGACAGTGCTGTTTGTAAAGTAGGAAATTACAGACTTTTACAGATTACAGACAAATTACAAATCACGTAATCTTTTTTCTAACATCTTATATTGAATATTTACAAATGAGATTCAAGTGCTAATCTATATACATATAATAATCCAAATATAGGTGCTTTTAATTCAATAGACGCATTAAACAGTGCAGTAATTATGATGAGTGAGCGAGAAAATAATGAAAATTAAAAATATTAAGGGTTTCCTTGGCTTATGCATACTTGTGCCTTTTAATTTTAAGCTTTCAAATTTGTAAATTTGAAATAAATAAAATGATGGTTTCAGTTTGTCTTTTATATTTTCAGATTACATCAAAATAGTTTACGTTTATTTTTTGTCAAACCATCTTTTTCACACATTAAGGTTCTTGTTAATGAAAAAGGAAGTGCTGGGGTGAAAAGCTTTTGTCACTCAGAAATCAGTAAGCGAAAAAACACCCCACTCTATATTACATAAAAGCATTTAAATGACTAAGAGAAAAAAGATGTACAGTAGTTTGTGAATAATCCGTGCTTCTATTCTGGATGACATTTTGGTAAGAATCAACTCATAATGTCTGTTTTTTTAAATGTTAATTTAGTTTTAATAGATAAAGTTTGTGTTTCACATAATGTCTTCAGTGCTGGTTGTCTTAAGACCATTCTGTTAAACACTGTAACAAGTAACTGGTAACTTGTTACTAAACAAGTAACATGTAACTGACGGCTTTTTAAAATAGTTTCTTTGTGTATATAATATATTGCATAACTACCAATAATTAATATTAAACTAACAAAACTAAAAATGTGGTGAGCTGAGTAAGGCATTACAGAAAATTCAGAAAAAAACATTAGAAATATCTATGGTAGGTGAGGTTTTATAACCTGAAAAATGATAAGAACAATCCTGATCTGGAACTAGAAAAAAAAAATCTTTATTTTTATGCTCCCTTTAAAATTTCCAGTTGTCCCCTCCATCTTCATCCTCCAAATCTGAACTATATTTCCCTCATTAAGACACAGTGGCATCAGACGTAATGATTTTTCACAGTTTTTAAAAAACAGCTATTATTTATTTTGAATTTGTACACATGATACCAGCTGAAAATCACAGCGTAGCTGTTAACAAAAGTTATTATACTCATGATGTTTCTTAAAATATAATGACGTAGGGCATTAAAGGTTAATTGTGTGTGCCCTTTGGGTTGTGGGTGTGCAGGGTTCCTTGTGACTCTGTTTTAGAGGAAGTGATCTGAAAATGGAAAGATACAACCAAACATTCTGTAATTTGAGTGTTTCTGAAATTATATATTTCTTGCAACGAAATTGTTTTCATGTGTCTTGCTGTTCTCTATGCAATGCTTATCCTGTTACACCTATTCAGTTGAAACACTGTTCTTTTTCCTTTGTTTTTTATTTTCAGTGTGAAAAAGTCTTTATTTACTTGGTAACTCCAACAGCTTACTAGTATTGGTGAGTAGAGTCTATTTTAGTTATGTGTTTTAACATATACAAAGATAAGCACAAATTACATGCAATTAATTTGACTTTATTTTGAATTCCAACAACTTTGTAACTTTGTAACCCCGTAATTATACCACTGGAGGATAAAATCTGCTGGTGTACAATGGCTTTTAGAAATATCTTTCCAAGTGCAATTCTTAGTACAAAAATGGTTTTTAAGTGAGCATTTTGATTTTTTTCTTTCAACCACTGTACACCCAAATATACACCACACACATTTTCTGGTCAGTCAAAGCAGATACTCACTCTTGCAAAAACTATTCGCTAACATGATTTAAGCCTATGAGCTTCTATTACTTGCTTTTAACAGTAATTAGAAACTATTGTCATAAAGTAGTGTACTATACCAACATAAAAGCCCATCATTGCAAATAACATCTGTATTTATTTTAGAAATTGTTAGGCGTACTTTGTCAATTGCACTAAAAAGGCTTTGCAGTTGCAGAATGTACAAATGAATGTACAGTAGCTAATATTAATCTTAAACAGTATTTTTGAATTTTCACTGGTGAATGCTCATGTTTGCACATGTAAAGAAAGAGAACACAATATCATGCTGATATTATATTGAAAGAACAACACTGAATTATGTTTATTTTTTCTATGGCCTAATCCAGACAAAAAGAGTCATCACACTATAGTTAAGTATGTGGTTTTCTTGTTTCCTTGATGCGGTCAGTTCCACATTTTAACTTACATATGCATTGAACCCGGAACACTTCATTTGAATCAACCCTGCAGAATCATGAAGTTTTTAATATTTTTTCTTACGCTGGGTGAGTACCTTGTATAATTATAATTTTTAATTTACTTTACATTTCTCTTTTTTAAAATATTGAGATTGCTGCATCACCTATTTTTATTCTTTTAAATTTATAGCTGGGATGAATGCGAGGCAGACAGCTTTAGGTATGATTTTTTTGTAAATATATTTATTCACTTTTTTTACATAATTGTGACTGATCTGTTAAAGATTCTGAAAGAACCCTGTGTTACAAAAGGTCTGGATCTAGGACAGGAGGAAATGCCTGTGAGCACACACAGAAAGTATTGTTTTACCTTACAGTGAATTTGTTCTAGAAAACAATGAAATATAATTTATTAGAATTTTTAAACTATTTGTACTCATACAGAACTTCACGATTCATCTAATATTTTAAAATAATGGCCAGAAACCAAATGCATTCTTATAGAATCTTGCAGGAATAAATTTTGAATTTCTGAAGGAGTTCATGTATCGAAATGGTGTTGAACAGAGGACTCTTACTTATAATGTCAAATTCATATACAGTATAGTACTGTAGATACAGATTGAACAGCATTTTATTTAACTACAGAAACATAGAAGTATATACTTTTGTCTTCCCATATACCTGGTGTTTTTATGCTTGTTCAGAGGTTACAGGCATGTGTCTTGTTGATTTTCTATACTGATAGTCCTTTATGACTTCTTTTTCCATGTGTGAGTGTTTTCATTTCAGAATAAATAAGAATTGGAGCTTAGGTGCTGGCCTTTAAAAACTGTAATGGTCATACCTTGTTTTATTACATTGCAGAGTATGATGGAATAATATATATTTTTTTCTAATCTAGAAGCAAACAATAGTAATATTATCTCATTTTCTGTATTTACACATAAAATATCGTATATTGAGTGGAGCAGAGGTTAGTCCAAAATTGAGGCTGTACAATTAAGTGTTGTTTTAGTCACAGGATTAAAACAACACTGGATGCTGTTTTAATTTGGATTTTTATCTACTGCACTGTATGTAATCCTGCATTTATGACTGCTGGTAAGGAGTAGTTGCTACATGTTTTTTTAAATTTTAAAAAAAAGAAATATTCACGTTAGGTTTTAAGTTATTATAATGAAACAATTATTCAGTCTAATATGCTCACATATCCATTTGTGTTGTACTCTTTTTCAAGTACAGCCGGAGCTCATCAACTGTCTCTCAGCAGGATTTGGTGCTACGTAAAACAGCATCATATTAGCAATGATCATGCTGTAATGTTGCTGCAAGGTTTACGATGATAAAAAAATTGTGAAGTATATTACTTAAAATTAAAATGGAATTTAAATGTAAAAATATACAACCGTGGCTTTCACAGCCCTAGCACTAAGAAATGTGATATTATGCCATACTTAAAACATCCCCAGGATGTTGTTTTTTACATTTATACAATATTCTCTTTCCATCTGACCAATGTAAAGACAAAACACATAGTGGTATGGTTTTGAATATTGCATCAATAAGTTGCAAAGCATTCAAACATTTAAATGGCCTTCTCTCATTCTTAACATTTTATAAAGGTTTTAATTTTTTTAAGTAGTAATAATTGCTATTGAATTAATAATATTTGCTACTTCTGTCTCCTTCTATAATTTAAATGATATATTCTCCTTTTAATCAATTCTACTGTTTATTATACTCACAGATTCACCTATACAACCTGTTATTAAAGTAACACCAAAAAGCATCAATATAGAAAATACAGTAACAATTCGATGTGAAAGTCAGAATGGAAAATTGTGTCACTTCTACACTCATAACAGCACAGACCCTTTCAGATCAGAACCAAACAAGGCTGGAGTCTGTCAGATTACCGTCAATGGGTGGGACATTCTGGAACAGGGATTGATGAACTTGAATATAACCAATGAGGTTTCTGTAAGTTGTGCTGGTGAACTAATGGAGGGGAACCAAACTGTTACCTCAAGCAAGAGTGAGCCAGAAAAACTAGAGGTTGTTGGTGAGTGTTCTTAATCTTTTACAAAGAATTAGTTTTAATTAAATTTTTAGAAATAGCATCCAAACATCTAAATGGTTTATACTCAAGTAAGATAACAAAAAACTATAGATTGTTGGTGAGTCTTCTTAATCTTTCCACAGTATTACTTTTTAAATTTTAGCAGTACATTCATGCGTACTTTTTAATTTCTAACAGAAACAAACATCTAAAAGTCCCAGATTCTTACTATGAAGTCTGAGAATGTATTACCGGTAATCAACTCTTATGGAACATCCCAAGTATATTCTGTGCTCCTCCAAAACTAAAACTTCTAAACCAAATACAATAAATTGTAAATACATAAATTGTTGGACATATTGGATCAACTGCCTTAATCTCTACCATTTCATTTTAAGTATTTTCACATGGACCTCAAATGCTTTACCTGTTTTATAGAAATTGGTAGATAAAATTTACAAAATTTACAAAATTGATTAATTCCACAACATTAAAGATCTGTCATTTATCAAGTGTTTCTTTGATCTTTTAACCGGTTATTAAACCTATGACTATGGATCAATAACATCTCTTGATGGACTTCTTCCCACAGGTTGGTTAAGAAAACCAAGAATTAATGTACATGAGGAAATATTTACAGAAAGATCACAAGTTAAGATTCGCTGTGAAGCTGAGAGAGGAATACACTGCCATTTCTACATTAATCAGACCAATGAATCTAAGGTGCTATTGGTGAAAGAGCCATTCAAGAAAGAGTTTAAAGTCTGTATTGCCACTATATTTGGGAGCGAGCTGCTGAAAAGGAAAGGTAATGGGAACAGTACTGAGGTCATTCTGAGCTGTACTGTTGATCTTGAAGGAAAAGGAAAACCACTTACCTCTCCGCCTAGTGAGAACAGAATAATCAAAGTTGGGGGTAAGGACTAAACTCATTTAATTATGTTTGTTATTTAATATTTAATTATGCTTTTGTAATGTATGCAAATATAAATATTTACATTCTCTATACTGTATACATATTTCATGTCTACATTTCATTCATTGAATTTTTGCCAGTCTTTTTTTCTTTTTCTTTTATGGAATGTTTTTTTTTTTATTTATTTTAGCACTGCTTATTACTACAATAGAATTGGACGTTATTACACCAATAGATATGTGCTTGACTGACTGAGTAAATTTTAGGACTGAATTTAGAAATCCGTGAGGTTGGGCAGTGCTCATCTCTCTTTAACTCCAGTATTTAATGTAAGTTTCTACAGATGTGTGAATAAAGCTTTTCATACATTTGTTGCTGTTTGCCTTCAGTTGATTCCAATTTTATATGTTCTTTAGATTTGGGTGTCAATGGGCCCACAACAATTTGTGAGTAAAATTACCTAATTACAGTATATTCACATTCTCCTACCAGTTAATTACTTTCTATCTTTCTATGGTATATAATTAGTTACAAAATATATAAAAGCTAGTCTGAACCATGACTCTTTTGTAATCTAACAAGAGAATATGTTGCTTCCTTTTATCAGGTCTTACTGAGTCAGAATGGCCCATAGCTGAATCCAGTAAGTTTTGAAACTGTGAAATAAGTAACATAGCATGCTACTTAAATAGCATATTATGTTTCCTAAAACATTTGTTGTTGTTTTTTTCTTTTCTTCCAGAGACTGCATCATCAACGGATGGACAAAGTTAGTATTCATCTTGTGTCAGTATCAAAAACTCAAGCAAGTGCTTGCCCTCTTTATGAGTCCTCTCACAATAATATAATACATCTGACAAACATGCATTTGCTGTTTTATTTAAATTATTTATTCTCATTCATATTTCAGGTAATTTTTCGAACACCTTCATCTGGACACTTTCTGGTGGACTGTTGTTTTTAGTCTTTTTCATAGCAACAGGCCTGATCCTAATCTGTTTAAAACACAGTAAGTTTATCTTTCTTAAACTAAGATAAGATAGTCATACTTAGTGTGCATGTTTTGACTTTTTAAAAATCCAATATTCTCTTACTTGTCACAGGTAAATGTTAACAGCATAGACAAAATGTAAAACTTCCCGGCACTAAATGACTTTCATGAAGACTTCAAGACTAGTTTTCATGTCTCTTCAGTATTATTTTTGATTCATGAAAAAATACATTGAAGATCCAGATAACCAGATATTTCTCGGTAGGAATCTGGCAACTGTATAATATAATGGTATCACTGCCTCTTTTTGAAAAAATTGTACAGAGGAATTAACACCAGCATGGTGCCCCAGCTTTCAGAAGTCTGTTGACTTTCACTCTGTTCTAGCGCCGTGGAAAAAATCAATAATAGTGCCAATATCCAAAAAGCCCTGTCCCTCAGATAACAATGACTACAGGCCGGTAGCACTGACGTCTGTTGCTATGAAATGCTTTGAGATGATAATGGTATCCATGCTGTGCTCAGAAGTGAACACTGTACTGGATCCATATCAGTTTGCATATAAACACTGGTAGGACACCAATGATGCAATTAACAGCATTATGCGTCTTGTTCTAAAACACCTAAGAGGACTCCAATACCTATGCTTGGATGCTGTTTGTGGACTTCAGCTCTGTATTTAATATGCTGCAGCCCCATCTATTGATAAGCAAGTTGAAGCAAATGTCCATTAACCTATAACTTCGTACCAATTATTTTTAATAAATCATACACAGCATGTCAGGGTCAACAAACTCTTTCCAAATCAGGATCTATTAGCACAGGTGCTTTTCAGGGCTGTGTGACCTCTCCAGTTCTGTTCACACTTTATACAAATGATTGTACAAGCAATAGTCAAAGCAACTTAATTTTCAAATTCTCAGATGATACAGCTGTGCTCCGCTTAATGCATAGAGGTAGCAGCTCATCTGTATACATGTCGGAAATCCAAAGGTCTGTGCAATGGTGTGACAACAATAGTCTAACTCTGAATGTTAAACAAACAAAACAAATAGTTTTTGATCCCAGAGCAGTTGGTGATCACTCACAAGTATTAATCTATAATGAACTTATCACTCAGTTTGATTCATATAAGTACTTAGGTGTACACATAGACAGTAACCTGTGCTGGACTCATGTTGAGAGTGTTTGCTCCAAAGTTCAGCAGCGCTTATATTGCCTGCGAAGACTAAGAGTGTTTGGGGCTTGACAGGAAGTAATGCTACTCTTTTACCATCCTGTAATCAAGAGCATTATCAGATATGGTATTACAGTGTGGTTTGGTAATCTATCAGTTCATTTCGAATCGCAAATTACCCACCTCATCCAGACAGCTTTGAACGTCATGGGACTGAAACAGCATCCTTACCTGCAATCTTTGAAAAATCCATAATCAAACAGGCAGGAAAAATTATATCAGATCCTTTTCACATCCTCAATTCTGAATATCAACTTCTTCCTTCTGGCAAACGTTTAAGGGTTCCCAAATGTAGGTCAAACAGAACATCCCTTTGTTCCACTATCTATTAAAGCTGTCGGCCCAAAGGACAGACACAATTTTGACTTAACTTGCACATTGTCTATTGTTTGTTTGTACATTGTCTTGATGCACTGTTTTCACTTTGTTTTGTTTTTTACACTTGTTTTACAAACGAGAGACTTTCTGTAAGTAAGAAGTCCATTGTACCAGTACCGGTTACATATGGCAATAAAGTTCAAGTTCAAGTTCAAGTTCATGTGCAATGTTTTTCTTATGTTTTGTAATAGAATAATGTGCAATATTTTTCTTTTCTTATTTTTTTTTGTTTGCATCCTATTTTATTCTATTTCTATATTAGAAAACAACTTGTAGCCCTGTTTTACTGGTTCCACTTATCATTTCGGTATTATTTTTCAGGAAAAATCCAATATGATTGTGAAAGGTAAGTAAATAAGTACGACAGACAAAAAAACACAGATGAAAAAGAACACACACCCAAACCTTATTGAAGTACTGTTTGGTAAAAAATAGTAGAAGTAGCCAAATACGGTTGCACACTCTGCTCCAAAATAATGTTAAATACCTGTCAAAAACTCCCCATACACAACCCTTCATCGGGATATACATCTTAGACTAACTGAGAGACTATAAACTAGTATCCCTAAATCATATATGTATTTACTAATAATAGAACACCAATGGTCACAGAAATGCTCAGTTCTTTACCGTAAAGAAAGGTCCCTGGATGAACATTGTTGCATAACGTCACAATACATAACTGAGTCTTGACCTTTAAGACATGATTTTTTCTATATCTTAAGATAATTGATCACAAGTGTTAATCATTAATGTTGATATTGAAATTGTGTGTGCCTAGATGATTTACTGCATCTACTCTCCTAAGAAGGGACCGTGAGCTTTGAAGTTATAATCTACCAGCAGCTGTTGGATTATTAATGTTGTCATACAGTATATAACTGACTTCCTGTTCCCAAAAAGGCTTTCTTCTCCTGTTGGCACAAAAACAATCACATTAGAGCAGGAAAAAAAGGTCTTACAAAGATATGGATGAAGCAAACCTGAAAAAAATACAACATCAATGTCAACTCCTGGGTGTTAACCTTAACCAAACTAACACAAACCAGATACATGAAGACAATCAGGGAAAGAACCCATCAATTTAAGATTCAAAGATATCAGAACAAGTAAATAAAGTGAGTGTTAAAGAATAACCAGATTGTAGACTATAGTAATATCTCCCAAGACAAAATGCCCTTTGCCTTGGGAGATATTACTACAGGGAGATATGCCCTTGGGAGATATGCCCTTTGCCTTTGCCCAAGAGTGTGCATGCTATATTAGACCTACACAACAGGACAACAGATACAGCATTTGAAGTTGAAGAATTTGTAGGAAACATGTCTTTAGAGAGGGTGGCTATTAAAAATTAAGATATAGGTTTCATTTACTAATGAAATTAGAAATGTTTGTGTTTCACTTCACTGTGTGTTTATATTCACGTATTAATTTATCTGCAATATCAAGCTAAATCTGACATATTTATGATGTACATCATATCTAGTGTATTGAGACTTATTTTAAACAACATTTTTAAAAATAAATAAAATCATTTTATTATTTAGAAAATGATATTAGAAAAAAATATGTTTCTGTGGAGACAATGCTGTTTCTGTGAAGTACATTCATTAGGATACATTTTCAAAAAGTAATTTTTAAATAATTGTAATTTTCTAAAAACCTACTTTACTTTGCTTTGCACATTCTCATTTTATCTTGAAAACATTTTTTTCTCCTTTTGTGATATTCCTACATAATGATTATTTTATGTTAGGAAGTATAATAGTATTACACTTCAGTAGAAACTGTACAATGCTATAGATTACAGTCTAAAGATCATGCATTTGCTCTTAAAACATTTTTTTTTACATAGGAACAAGCAGACTGAAGAAAACAATACTGAATTGTGTAAGTATGTGAAAAAGCAAGCTAGATTTAATGCTCTCTCAACAGACGCCATCTACACTGAAAAATATATTAATGTTTTGTTTTTATTTTTATAACAGATTCTGCCGTCAATGAAAATGATCAAAAGATTTCAAAGGTAATCAAATCATCATGTATGAAGTAACACTACTTTTAAAAAACATTCTATGTATGTGCTGTGTACTAGTATGTCACTCTATTGCCGGGTGTCATGAAATGCTATTTTTGTGTTAGTGGCGATAGAAATCACTGGAATCCTTTGTTGATCCCTACAGCTGCACGACACAGGCTCTGAAATGTACTATAGCAAAGTGAAACGATACAAGCAACCTGGCAAAGCTGACCAATTGGCTCAGCTCCATCCAAAGGAAGAGTACTGCACTGTGGGGATACAATTTGACAGTAACCCCACAACCACATCAGACAACATCTGCTCCATTTACGGAACCATAGACAATTAAAAAGAACAGAGAAATGGAGCAATATTTTAATAGCCTTTCTGATAAACTATTTCCTTATTACTTATACCTGTCCATGTGTCTTTATGCCTTTGTACTTTGTTATGTGTGGTTTATCTTTGGCTTTTACACTAGATGTCTGCTTCTTGATGAAGTCCTTTCAATATTGTTGTTATCTTAAAATATCAAATTTCTGAGTTTCCAACACAAACATCAGACTAATACTGATACCTGATAGTGAAGCTTAGTTTTACTTATCTCTTTATAATGAAAGATATATTCCATGGTTTTTCTTATAACAAGACATCAAAGTTTAATTTTCTCCACATTGATCATTTTCCTCAATGTTTTTATACATTATCCTGTATTGTTCTTCATTCAGTCAGTGAAAGAAAATTACTGGTAATACAATCCCATGCTTGTATACTTACTGAATGCTGTCTGGTGCTGTAGAAACACACTGTACAGTACATATCCCTATACTGTATTGTTCCTCTCTGGTTAAAGAAGAGAGAAATTGTGCCCCTGATGTACTGTGCACATGTTCTGGTGTGTGTTTTGTCACTGGGGAACACCTGGACAAACTTGGTTTTGAAATATTTTGATAATACGTATATTTTGAAAATGAACATTTAATTGAAAGTTTCTTATAATCTAAAGGCAAATTTACTTAACCTGACCTACATTTTCTTATACTGTAGCTTACTTAGCGATTTTACCTTTATGTCTTCAATAAACTTTTTTGGTTTAATGTTAGTGTTCTTCTTATTTTAGGAATGATGTAAAGTAATGTAATTACACTTGCTTAATTTTTTAATTATATATTTAACACAATTTATTTAGTTTAGGGGTTGCAACATTACATTTTATAAGTGGATAATAATCCAATTCTGTAAATAATTACTTATAATTACTTGATGAAGATTTGGAATATGGTTCAAACTATGGAAAAAACTTTTGTTACTAATGTAATTAATCCACTGCAGCATTTGAATATTATCACTTTTATGTCACTCCATTAATCTTTTTTGTAATATATTTAATTTTAAAAACATTACTACACAAATTAGGAGTAAAACACATTCCTGTTTTAATGTTTCAGTTGCTTTTATTTTCTTGTTTAAGTCCAAACGTATGGAAATGTATCAATCTCTGAACAAGGTCTGTTCAATTACACATATAATCTGTGTATGTGAATGTTAATATTATTTCCTATCCTTTTTACTTTGGCAAATAAGTGCTTCCAAGTCACTTCCAAGTCACTTGCCAGAAAGTTTTGGGAGGTTCTATTTCTATTTTTTCTTAATCCGACTCAGTAAATATTATACTAAATGGAATAACAAAATAAAACATGTTCAAACATGTTTTAATGACCAGAGATCTAGTAATATGATAATGATAACTAAATGATCTGAATTGATTCTAAAAAAAGACTTTAATTGGGTGGCTCTGTGGCTAAGGATCTGCACCTGTGGCTGGAAGGTTGCCGATTGCTGGCAGAGGAATCCTAATCTGTTCGGACCCTGAGCAAGGCACATAACCCCAGCTGCTCCAGGGGTGCTGTACAATAGCTGATCCTGCGCTCTGACCCCAAGCTTCTCTCCCTGTCTGTGTGGCTCATGGAGAGCAATCTGGGGTATGAGAAAAAACAAATTCCTAATGCAAGAAATTGTAATGGGTCAATAAAGTGATGTAATTTTTTAATTATTGTCAGATTATAATAGCTTTTACAATAAAAATTATATTCATGAAAAACACAACCTTTACCCCTGTTTTAGTGGTTCCACTAAGCACCTGGGTTTTATCTTTAAAAAAAAATGATGGTGAATTGTGACCAAACAAACTTTTAAATACTTAAGGTGGAGTCATAGCACAAATGCAGTTTAAGAAGGAATTTATGTACTGTATGAAGGGGTTGGAGTAATGCAACATTTACATACAAAATAGAAAAACAAAAAAGGGGAAAAACCATACCATATTCTTATTACTATTTTAGGTACTATCCAGTATTTTTATATTTTAATATTTTTATTTGTATATATGTAGCGGCGAGGCTTATTAATAAGGCAGAATTAAGTGTTTCTGAGCTTTCCCAAATTAGGCCCCATCTCTGTTCATCTCTGTGGTGCAGCGTCAGAGAAACTATTCATGCAGCCTGATTTAAGGTTCCTTTGATAAATGACAGCTCCCAGAGGTGGATGCACTTAGCTAAGCCTTGATATCATGATCAATGGTCATCCATTGGCGCCTATCTGTCTAGGGAGTGCCAGATGGACATCTGGACTGCATTCCTAAGTGTCAGGAGTAAGTGACTCATATCTCACCTTGATCAACCAATCAGGGACTGGTAGGGCCGAGTAACCCACGTGGGACTCTGATGCCCATGGAACTTTCAGCCAATCAACGAGCTGAAGTTCCTCCAGGTAAAAACAGGCAACACAGAGAGCCTGAAAGATTCAGAAGAGATTCAGTGGAGAATTCTGTGGACTGTTCTAAAGGGAATTCAAAGTAGAATTCCAGGGCAGGACGCCCCAGGAGCAGAAGGCTCCCAAGGGCAGGGCATTCTCGCAGCGCGCCTCCTGACCATCCTGAGACTCAGCCCGGACAACCACGGAACGGCCAGTGTGTCCGAGTGCCAGAATTTTCCTTTGTTCTAAGAGTCTAGAGCAGAGGTTGCCAGAGAATAACCAGAGGATCCACCCTAGGTGAGCACCAGCAGCAGGCCTCGTGAACAGGTCGGAACTGAGGACAGCTGAATCACTATTCAGAACTAGCTCTTCATCAGGAACGAACCGGTCCTCTTCCTGACTTGCTGGGACCCACAGTCATGTTTTCTCCTGTCAGTGAGCATCAGCAGCGCACCGTCGCAAGCCGTACAGCACAGCCTGGCACTGAGCCAGAGAGCGCGGATTGGACAGCAACAAGCCTGCAACTGTTTCTTTGTGCCCGCAGGAGATCTGAATCCCCAGAGATTGGATGAGTATTCAACTTCAATGCATTACAGCTCGAGAATTCAATTGTTATCCCAACCAGTTGATATCAATTTAATTCCTAAGAGTTATGTACTTGTTTTGAATATCTAATGTAGAAGTTATAACCAAGTTCATTTACGAAACGGTCTAAATGAATGATATACTGAACTTATGTCCTCTTGATATGTGTAACTCTTTGTAACTGATTGAATATATATATCTTTTGTATTCTGATAACCCTCTCGATAAGATCTGTTAGGTTTTATGCATATTCTATGTATTAATAAATGTATCCTCATGTATTAGTACCTGTGTGTGTGCTTTGTTTGAGTTATGTGGCATGGTTGGATTCTAAAGCCATCAAAAGAATCTACTTTGTGATTTACTGCTACAATTAATAATTGTTCCAGTAAATGCCCAAACCCTACAGAACTGGTGCCTTCAGAGAGCCACTACATTTACATTTTGGCTATGGCAACATTACATATATATAATAGTTTAAGGTACAAAATGCACTATGAGCTATCACATGCAATTGCAGGATATAAACTGATGTTATTTTTGAAATAGTGAAATCTATTTGATTCCTTGATGAAGGATCTTTACTATTGTTGCTGTCTCAAATATCTAACTTTGCTACACAAAAGTTAAACTGATTAAAAGATTTATTTTTTCTCAATAGTAAAACCTAATTTTACTTTTCCCATTATGATGAAGGGTATATCCTATGCTTTTCCTCAGTGCAATCTATCATTATCACAGTGATTTTTTCTTAATGCTCTTCCAGCCTGTATGCAGTACTGTGAATTCCTACATTCAAGGCCTATATACCTATATACAGTTTCTTAATTCTCCCATGATAACTCCCCTTTAGTAAGTAAATTCATACTTTAGTTTAGGGGTTGCAAAATTGCACTTTATAAGCAAATTATTATTTCCTGGAAATAACGACACTTTGGTGGATGGTTTTAAGCTGTGGTCAGTTTTAATTAATTAATGGCAATTTGTATATATATATCACTGTTATGTCCCACATTTATACTTTTTAAATATATAAACTGTATAAACTATCAATACTGTATATATCAGCTGTTACCCCTGATGATGTGGACCACTTCAGCACTGATACTATTTTGGGCTCTGTCAGTGAAAATATACAATGGTTATAGAAAGTCACCACCCCCTTCAAAACGTTCACCTTTTGTTGCCCTAAAGCCCCAAAAGAAGACAAAATCAGATTTTTTTCTAGTTTTATTTACAAATTGTACATTGCAACATCCAAGTGAAAAAATAAAGCAGAATTTCTGAAAATAAAATAGAATAACTGGGTTGGATAAGAAAACACCCCCCTGAACTAATAGTGGAAGCACCTTATGCTTGAATTACAGCCTTGAGTCTGTTTGGATACATATCTACCAACTTTGCACACCTAGAAGGAGGAATATTTGCCCATTCCTCCTTACAGAATTTTTCAATCTCAGTCAAACTGCGTGATGACTGTTGGACTGCCCTCTTCAAGTCATTCCTAAGATTTTCGATGGGATTTAGGTTGGGGCTCTGACTAGGCCTCTCAAGGACATTCACCTTCCTGTCCTTCAGCCACTGTATGATTGCTGTTGCAGTGTGGTTTGGGTCATTGTCATGTTGAAGGGTGAACCATCTTCCCATTTTGAACTTCCTGGCTGAGGGCTGCTGGTTTTCTTCAAGAATTTGTCTGTATTTTGCACCATCTATCTTCCCTTCTATCCTGACAAGTGCCCCAGTCCCAGCTGAAGAGAAACACCCCCACAACAGGATGATGCCACTACCATGCTATACTGTAGGAATGGTGTTATTTGGATGGTAAGATGCATTGGGTTTCTGTCAGAGGTACCGTTTTGCATTAAGGTCAAAAGATTGATTTTGGTCTCTTCCGACCACAGCACCTTTAAGGTGCTTAGGTGCTTTTTAAACAAGACTTGATGTGGCTTTTTTTAAGGAGTTACTTTTTTATGCCAACCTCCAATACAGGCCAGATATCAGCACTTCTGATATTGTTGTCATATGCACACAATGACTAGTCTTTTCCATAAAGGCCCATAGCTCATTCAAAGTTGCTATCAGCCTCTCAGTAGCATGTCTGATCAGTCTCCTTCTTGTTCAGTCAACCAGTTTGAAAGGACGGCCTGATCTAGACAAGGTCTGGATGAAGCCATATGCCTTCCAGTTCTTAATGATGGTCTTGACTGTGCTCTATGGGATAGTTAAAGCATTTTAAATCTTTTTAAACCCATCTCCTGACTTGTGCCTTTCTGCAACTTTATCTCAAAGTTCTTTTGAAAGTACCTTTCCTCCCATAGGGGATTCTCTACTTTGAAATGCACTTCCAAGCAGTGAAATCCTCTAGAAACAGCTGCTTTAATTCTGAACTAATCAAAATCACCACAGTTGATCACAAGTGGGAGCTAATTAGTTTGTTGTGTGATCTGTAAGGTGATTGGTTATACCTGAGCAAGTTTACAAATGCAATTGTAACGGGGGTGTTCACATATCCAAATAAGGTATTTCACTGTTGTAATATTAATTAATTTTCATAATGTTTTAGAATGTTATTTTCACTTGGTTAATGTGGGTAAATGTCTGTAAATAAAAATGGAACAAGCCTAATTTAATTTGTTTTTATATTCAGAGTGTCATACAACAAAGGTACAAATTTTGAAAGGTAGAGGTGACTTTCTCTACCCACTGTATGAATTCCTATATGAATATGCTGTATATTATATATATATAACTATATATCTATAAAACACATAACTGTATTAGTAGCCATTCAGCTTCCACTTAATTTACCAAAATATGTATTTCATTACTCTGTCAAACATTTTTTATGTTTTCATGTTTTAATATTTTAATTGTCTTTATTTACTTCTTGAAATCCAAAAGTATAGTCTTTCATGTGGGTTCAATTACACATTCTAATGTGAATGTGTGAACCTTAATACTATTCATTATCCTCTTCACTTCGAAATATTGCAGCAATATTATGTTGGGTATGTGTAATATTATCCATCACATTTAATAATTAATAAAATACAGTTTGACTACAACTATAAGGTAGACTCAGAATATGCTAGTAAATTACTCATTTGTACAAATAAGTGCCAGTTTTAAATTGCTTTAAGTTAAAGCATCAAACAAATAAATTATTAATAATAAAAATGCTGTTGTTTTGGGGGTTAAATGATACCCCCCACAAAGTTTCAACTTTGCGAATGGTTAGGAAACAAGTTAAAGCTTTTATTGTATTTATGAGCTATATATAACTCAGCTCCCATTCTGAAACCACCAGAGACGTTGGCACACAGAAGAGTTTAGGCACACAACCTCAACTCTACTAAGAGTGACACTGTACGTCTTCTCTGTCCTGGAAAACCATCTCTTTTTGTTTTTTCAAGATAAACTCAAGATGAAATTAGGAGCATAATCTATTGTCCACATACAGTTGAAATATTTCCTTTGGCCACACTGAGACAACAATAAAAACAATGTAATACAGAATAACGTACTGTACATAAAACATCCTGTGGATTTTACAAGATGTGAAAAGTCAATGCAATTTAGATAACAATACAATGCAGTACAATACAGAAAAGAAATGCT